TAGTTACTTAGCATAGATAAGTAATAAAGCTTTAAATAAAGCATGTATTAACAAATGAGAAAAGTATACGACATGTATTTGTAATTATTTTCTATATAGTAATACCCATTCCAATTGGAGGTTTAAAAAATGAACTGATGCCTCTAATATTAGTGGCACCAAAACACAGAAGAAGAGGAAATCTGACAAAAGGAATTTTACACATGAAATAGTGTCTCCCAATGAATAACCGAATCATGTTGTGTACACACCTCAGATACTAAGGTATTCACTACCAAATTATATGACACAGCTGACCTCTTTCCTAACACTTATGTTTGTTGTTTAATTTGTAATATAAACTTACAAAATAGAGATGACCTCAATTCCATATGAGAAGAGAACCATTCATGTTTGTTTTTTTAACTGTATACACTGAATTTCAAATTAATAACTGTTATTTACATTTTATAACAAGTGTTTACCACTTTATGACATCACACCTCAATGTTCTTAAACACTTATACGTTAGTCATCACCAATGACATATAATTTTGGTTACTGAGAAAAGAATGCTGCCTAAGGCTAGAGTTGTGAAACCTGTTTTGAAAGCAGACATGCTTCATCCTGTAGCTTGAAGTATAAAGTTACATCCGGACTTATCTTCATTCCACCAATTGCTCCACAATCACCCTCACCTATCATCTGGGGCTGGTACAATAGGCCAGAAGTGGCCGAAGTACAAGGGACTTAGTCCCACCCCACTACAAATAAAAACAAACTCCGTGGTTTTAGTCTGCAAGCGAACTATACCGACCGGGCGACCGCCGCTTGTCGGCGAAGTTACTGCCATAAATACATTAAGTTTAAAATCTTTCTCTATGGTCATAACGAAGTTCAAGTGCTGCTGCAGCATCTTCTAACCGTTAAGTCTGGATCTTTGGTGTGAGCAAGGCAAAATGAAAGTAGGAGTAATGCAGAAAACATGCAACACAGAATTGTGGGCATGTGTTATGTTACAATTATTTTATCACAAAGTCTCATCATAAGTGTGGGGGGCACAGGGTAGCGTAGTTGGTTGAGGCACTATGCTACAAGCTGGAAGTTCGCGGGTTCGAGTCCCAATGAGGTGATTTTTTTTTCAATTGACCTATAATCCTTCCAACCGCACTATGACCCTGGGGTCGACTCACCCTCTAACAGAAATGTGTACCGGGAATCGTCCAGGGGGGTAAAGAGCGGCCGGCACGTAAGGCTGACAACCTTACCGCCATCTGCGAGCCGACTGTCTAGAGAAAATGTGGGAGGCTCGACGTCTCACAACCGTATGGTCTTCCACGGCCTGTTACAGTGATAGCTTTACCTTTTACCATCACAAGTTTGGGCACGAGACAGTCTACAATTAAATATGTTACGTTGTTGGAGCTGAGGTCTGACAGCAATGACTACAAACAAGTAGTAGATGGATGTACAGCCATGCAGTCTGGTAGGAAGCAAGCAAAATTTGCTCTGCCTGCCACATGCTTGACTTATTCTTCAACCCTGAAAATGGAGACAGCCTATTCTTCCGAAACACAGGCGAACTTCTACTGTGGACTACGCAGTGTTATATCCCAAAGGATGGTTCTACCTAAGCATATCATATTGGACACAGATGTCATTTCATATTTGACAAGAAAACAGCCAAGATGCATTAATTTCACTACAGGATGTCAGAATACCTCTGAAACAAATGAATGTGACTCGGACATCATACATAATGTTCAGCAAGGAAACCTCTGCTGCCCTCATATCCTGTCTCTTTTCACCGCAACTTACTTCCGTTTCCTTTGTAAATGTAACATTCCACAGTCATGAGGGCAGCTTATTCCTTAAATATTGTACAGACACTTTCTGATACTTTGGAATGCAGCAAACAACACAAGAGTAGATTATAGCAGTAGAGAAGCGCTTTGAGGACTCCGGGATACATCTTTCGGGTGTATAAGAGAAATTAAGAAATTACAAGAAAACTACAAATTAAAAAAACACACATATACAGGGTGTTTCACGACTTTAGGGCATAACTGCAGGAGGTGATTTCCTAGATCTTTGTGATCAAAAAAAGTTCATATAAACATGTGTCCGATTTTGGACGGTTACGGAGTTATGACCGTTTTAAACTCAGAATAGAAGGTAACGATCTCGCGTAACGATCTCGCGTTGCCACCTTCACATTGTAAACCAGTTCTTTCATCCATCCCCACACACAATAATCCAGCGGGCTTAGGTCTGGAGACCTGGCTGGCAATTCTTCGCGTACTCGTGCGTGGACTGCGGTGTACCATACGAACAATGCCTTCTTCACTGAAGCCTTCATTAACACCACGCTCGGCTGCAATACGAACGCCGGGAGTCTACCGGTATCTCGCAATGCCTGGTAAACTCCAGTAAACACTCTCCGGTTCGGTATTCTACGATTCGGAAACCGTTGCTGATATTCAGCTACGGCAAGAACTGAGTTACCGTCACAAAACCCGTACACATAAATCATATCTGCATACTCCTCAAATGAAAATGTAAATGGCATCGTGAACGTAACAGACGCACAGAGATGAGAACTGTTCTGAACACCAGTAGCCGCCACGCTAGCCGTGGCCTTACATACCAACCCACCACGCCCTAGGTACCTCTCAAATGTCGAGATAACGAGAACGCTGTCTGTAGCTGGCTAAAAACAGCGACCTGCCAGATGATAGACGCGGTTCACACGAGGGCGTGTACGGGAATAAAAAAACGGTCATAACTCCGTAACCGTCCAAAATAGGACACATGTTTCTAAGAACTTTTTTGATCAAAAAGACCTAGGAAATCATCTCCTGCAGTTATGCCCTAAAGTCGTGACACACCCTGTATATATAACAAATTAAAGAGTAATAAAAATGAAACTGCAATGAACCACAGACAGGATGAGCGCCAACAGGATAAAAAAAAAAGACCTTAAGATATCAATCAATAGCAAAAAGATGTCTGGAAAAAATTATATGATGGAAGGATTAACTTTTCTAATATCAGTAACACGTCTCAACAGCCCTAGTACTGAAAAGACAATATACAGCACATATTAATTCTTTTATAAGATTCCGTGGCTTTAGCTCGTAATCGAACTATACCGACCGAGCGACTGCCGCTCGGCGAAGTTGGTGCCAACTTTAGAGAACAGAGGATGTCGTGTGGTCAGCGCAACGAATCCACATGTCCGTTAATTTCGGTTTTCTAGACCGGAGCCGCTACTTTTCCATTCAAGCAGCTCCTCAATTATCCTCACGAGGCTGAGCGGACCCCGTTCCAGACCCACTACTTCTCAGAAAATCTGGTAGCGCTAAGAATCGAACCCGGTACCTCCGGATCTGTAGCTAGGAACTCTGCCCACTAGACGACAGAGGCGGTCCCTTTCTATTGTAAGCCAATATAAAATACAATGCAAAAAGTGATTTACACCAACTGCTGTTTCATCAATAAGCAGCTATGTACAGCTTAAATGCATATTCGGTGTTTATAAGTTTTATCATCATGCTGCACTGCTGTGGTAAATCACAATAAAGTGAGCGATATCACATTGTTTTGTTCTTAGAACAACAATTTAATGAGAAGTACGAACTAACGTTAATGCATCAGTAAAAGTGTTGAAGTGCCCTCATATTACTTACATTGCTTAAGAAGTTTATTTAAGATGCATGGCTGAAAATTATTAGAGTAACAAGCATTAAGTAAACGTTTATTAAATATGTGTGATGCAAAAAAAAACAGTTTCACTAATTCAACGGAGTTAATGTAAGAAAACCCTGGGCAAAGAAGAGGTATTTAAGCTACTGTCATGTTAAAAAAATAGCCACATAAACGAAAAAGTTGCAACTTTAAATAATGATTTATCATAATTCCCTATATATAAAATAAATCAATGTAGTATTTTTTTTTTATAATTTGCATTCATCGAATATTATACAGAAGATTAAAGCAAGGATCATTAAATGGGTGGGACATGTAGCACACATGTCAAAGAAGAGAAATGGATACAAAGTTTTGGTACACAAATGTGAAGGAAAGAGACCACTTGCAAGAATTAAGTAGAGATGGGAGGATAATATTAAAATGGATTTTATTGAAACAGTACTGGGGAGCGTGGACTGATTCCACCTGGTTCCAGATAGTAATCAGTTGTGCACTCCTGTGAAACATGACAACGAACCTTTGAATTCCATATAATGCTGTGATCCTGACTAGCTCGACAACTATAAGCTTTTCAAGAAGAACACTGTTCCATGGAGTTATTTAGTCATCATTATAACAAGATCTTCCGGGTTATGGAGCCTATATTTTATTTAAGATAGCTGTAATTCAGACTATGACCGTATCTGTGGTCTAGTGATCAGAGTTCCTGGCTGCAGATCCAGAGGTCCGGGTTCGATTTCCGGCGCTACCAGATTTCCTGAGAAGTAGTGGGTTTGGAACGGGAGCCACTCAGCCTTGTGAGGATAACTGAGGAGCTATTTCAAGGAAATAGCGGCTCCGGTCTAGAAAACCGAAATTAACGGCCGTGGGGATCCGTTGCGCTGGCCACCCGACACCCTCTATCCGCTAAGTTGGCACTAACTTCGCCGACAACCGGCCGTCGCTAGGTCGGTATAGTTCGCTGGCGGACTAAAACCACGGAGTTTTTTTTGTTTGTTTGTAATTCAGACTTTATGGCCCCTGGAATGATAAGACGGCAATGAGAAAGGAATTAAAAGAATTTTGAAGAAAGGAGCCCGGCTTAATTAAAACGACACCTGCAATCTGGTAGATAGTTAGTTGGCAATTTGTGTATTATGGTTACAATTTCTGGCCCAGCTATATTATTGGTTGTACTTACTTCCAATGCCAAAACCCGAATATAAAAGGGAGCATTGTTTTATCCAGCTGCTGAAGCATAAAAGAGTTTCCTGTCTCGCATAATAGCGCCTTTCTGAATGACCTGGATATGACTCATGTAGAACACTGTACAGTCTGTTAAGGTATGCATCTTTTTCCTGTTTGTTTTAATACTTGTCTCTCAACTCTGAATCAAGACTCTTAAAATAGTAGTCCAGCAGTCTAGCCGCCTGCTTGGCAAGGAGCCCACATCTCTACCCTCTCTTCTTTACCGCCAGTAACCAAACACACAAACATGCTTCTTACATATCTGTTAGTCTGCCTCCTTTCATTCAGTGTTTAGTACACATGCCAGGCAGACACACAACACGTGAACTCACACAACAGACGCTATGTTCCTCACAACAAGTACCTAGAAATAATTAAGTTTTATACCTCATTATATTTTCCACTATTTCCTAACTTCAAGAACTGAATTATTTTTAATGACACACTATCAAATGTATTTACTGTCAAAGAAATGTTTCAGAATTTGTTCTAAGAATGTGTTAACATTTATTAGTCAGTGCAACAAACATTTAAACAAGTGACTCAATATTGCTAAATTCGCACTGTAGTGATGTAACAAAACGGTTTTATTATCTTTCATTATTATATATGTGTAAATTCTTATTCAAACCAACTAAACATAAGAGTGGGTGCAGCAGTTTCCATCATGCGGCTCTGGATATTATTGGTACTTGGTGTGTGCTTCAGTACAGGTAAGTCTAATTTCTTTAGGATAATATTTAGATTTTGTATCTCGCAATTATGCTAGAACTGTCCTGGGTTCATATGTTTCTAAAATTCAGTATAAAAATTTCGTCAGTTTCAAATCTAACCCATTTTCTGTCACTTTCATTCTATCATTTATTCACATGAACTTGGACCTTATGTGTATAAGGGACTTGGGTTTAAAACTCTGGTCACCAGTAAGAAGGACAACATAAAAAGTCTTTATTAAGGGCATATGATGACTTAAGTCCTTTATACCAATAAGATGTCAATATTTCTGACTTCAGTTCTAAGTAGTGTGCTTGTAATTTTCACCATCTAACTGCTATACAGTTTAATACTGTGTGAAAGGGGAAAGAAATATATACATATTTCTAAAATAAAAATTGATAAACAANCTTCTTTCTCATTTTCAGTAATTAAAATGGCTGCTTCCAAACATATTTTCACTCCCAATTATTGCACACAAATCTTGTCAATATTGCATAATCTACCAATTACCTACTTCAGTAGTTTTCTGGAATTAAAAAATCATGGAATCAATGACCGCCTCTGCAGTCTAGTGGTCAGAGTTCCTGGCTACAGACACAGAGGTCCAGGTTCAATTCCCGGCAGTACCAGATTTTCTAAGTAGTGGGTCTGGAACGGGGTCCACTCAGCCTCATGAGGATAACTGAGTAGCTATTTCAAGGAAGTAGCGGCTCTGGTCTAGAAAACCGAGATTAACAGCCATGGGGATTCGTTGTGCTGACCATGCAACACCCTCTATCTGCAAAAAGTTGGCACGAACCTCGCTGACAAGCGGCGGTCACTCGGTCAACATAGTTCGCTTGTGGACTACATGCCACGGAGTTTTTTTTTTATTTTGGTATCATCATACATCTCCCAACTCAAAATAAATTCAAAATTCTAATTATTTTTCTCGTTCTCGCTCAGCTTCAATAACCTGCATATGTTATTATTACAAAAATCAGTTTAAAAGGATAAAATGATAGATTTGACATGTTTGGGCAGACAAGAAATTCATACAAAACTTCGGAGAACCACACACTAAGACATCACTTGGAAGAATTAACCAGAGACAGAAGGATAATATTAAAATTACCATGAAGATAGGAACCTGATTAAATTGGTTGAACAAAGGCGCCAACGATGTGCTTTTGTGATAATGAATATTTCAATTCTATAGAGACAGGATATTTAAAAATAAACAATGAATTAAGGAAGACCCTGTACCATATGGTGAATTACTCAGCAATGAGCCTGTTACCAAACCAGTTATGAAAAACTTGGGGATTTTTCATTCGAGTATGTCGAAAGAGCATACACATTTTTATGACACATTTATTAAATTGCATTTTAAAGAAAAAGCAGATGCAGAGAGGAGTCAACCAGATCAGGAGAAGGTGCAGTGGCAGCTGTTGTGAATGTGGTAATGAACCCTGTGGTTCCATAAAACGTGGGAGGGCTCTTAACCAGTTCAGTTTCTAAAGAAGGAATTTGTTTCATCGAATTGTAACAATTGTCATTCAACATAGAATTTTCCAACTTACTAATTTAATTTGTGAACTCTCCCAGGTTCAAGACAGTTGCTGCCTCAAGAAAATAAAATACATAAATAAAGACAAGCTACAAGCAGAACTGACCCTCTGCCTATGCATTATGCCTCAGCTAGTGTCACCTCCCCATGCAGTGTTCTCCCCAACTGACCAGACTCCTTTTATATTATCTCACCTGGAGATTCAAGGTGCATCAACGAGGTTTAAAACAGATGGTGCCACCTTTGGGTTCATGACCCCCCAGTATTTTATTAACAAGAATACTACCATACTGATACACAGGCAGTTCCTGTGTATTTATAAAGTGAGTACTACAGACAGGAATCAGCTGCTTATGTAAATGAAGAAGGTTAAGTAGTGTTAGATACATTCAAAACTTTGAAGTAGATGAAGATGAACTGCCAGCACCTTACGCCAACGAAAGAACCTTCTGTACCCATTGGATGGCAGGTAGGTGGGTTCCAGAGCCAATGTGAATGTGGAAGTGAAAAGAAAGGTTCCTGCCACTGCTAGGAATAGCACCCTCATCACCCTGCCTGTATCCAGCCACTTTATACACTGAGCCACCCAGGCTAGAAATTAAATAAACTAAATAAAAAATAAAATGTATCACATATATAATAATTGTATTACTGACTTTACCCACAGCAATAAAATGCAGATTTCAATATCATTTCATCTGTCACAGGGTATTTCAGTATACAGGTAAGTTACTTATTCTAAATTTTGTCTTAATTTTAATTTAAGGAAAATATAGCTCTCCATAAAGTTAGTATACCAATGATTCAGAAATAATGGTTATAGGAAAAATACTAAAAATGTACATGTAATTATAAGATGGAGTCTGGTCAAGTCTGAACTTAATACTAAGATTAGGCTTTCACACTTCATAGAATATTATTAAGATAATCAAAACAAGGATGATGAGACAGACCGGGGGGGGGGAGCGCGCAAAAAACTCCGTGGCTTTAGTCCGCAAGCGAACTATACCGACCGAGCGACCGCCACTTGTTGGTGTAGTTAGTGCCGACTTTAGTAGATAGAGAATGTCGCACAATGAATCAGCATGGCCGTTAAATTCGAACAGATGGAGCACACATGAGCGATATGCGAAGTGTGCACAAAGTTGCAGTCAAAACACCTAAAGTGAAGGCCAAGGCACACATAGGGGAATAATATTAAAATGGATCTTAAGAAACACAGGACATCTGTCAACAAATAATATGTCATACCTATAACAAAAGTCGTTAAACAAATGTTACATGATATGACATGCTTTAAATAATTGTAAGATTATCAGTTTCAAGGTTTTCATTGCCATTATTGTTCAGACTGCAGTCTTCTGTGTGGATACCAATATGCTGCCTCCAAAACGTTGGCATCCATATATGAGACTACAAGCCCATCAACCCAAATATATCATGAGACCATTTATTTCCTTTTTCAAACAAAAAATTATTTACTTATAAGATTATGGTTGGTTGGTTGGTTGGTTGGTTGGTTGGTTGGTTGATTTCCAATGGCTGCATGTGGGATCATTTAACCCATTTTGCTTCTTGCTTCCCAGTAGAGAGCACTCAAGTTCTTGCTTTGTTGCATCTTGAAGAAGTTTGCACTTTTCTTTTGGGAAGCTTTGCCAGGTCTGTTGCTCATTTTGCACTACCCAGGGGACACACACGACTCAAAGAATGTCACGGACACGAGCAACTTTGTACCCCCCAGATAAGATCATTGCCATCATAATTAACAAGTATCAAAAATGTGAAATATCTCGATCTGAGACAGAAAATTCATTATCCAATTTCTAAAGCGATCTCTTTTATGAGTACCAATAACAAAGGAGAATACCCTAGCAGATAACCATATTACCAAGAAGACTCTTCTGGGATGTTTTCGAGGACCTTATGCACCAGACTACATGGTGTCACATTTCACAGCCCCACTGCTAAATAACAGTATATCATCCACAGTTTTCTGTTAAAAAATAAAACTACTGAATCTAAATTTTGAAATGAATGAATGCACCATTATGTTAAATGTATCTGTAAATAATACATCTTTAGAAAACTGATAATACATGACTGTCCTGCTAAAAATCACACGTTACTGAGGAGTTTAATTGTGAATATCAAAATATGATTTATATTTACAACAGGTGTCGATGAAGACGACATGAAAAAGACATATATCTGTCCACCAGACTTTGTTCGTAATGGTAACAGTTGCTATTTCTTCAGCACTCATATGGCAACATGGCAAGAGGCCCACTTTGCATGTAAAGATAAGGACAGTGAGCTGGCAAGGTTGGAAAAAGGTTGGGAAGATCGAAACATGAGAAGTTACCTCAATAAACCTGAGTTAGGTAAGACTGAAAATATTTAAATAAACTAATATCTAACTTACAATTAATATGTTGCTGGACATTATCCATCATCTTGTCTGTTCTTAAAAAACCGTCTAGTTTCTATTAAATATTCTATAAAATATTCTATTTTAAGAACAGACAAGATGATGGATAATGTCCAGCAACATATTAATTGTAACAATTTACCATCATCACAAACTTTTAGATCTTAATATCTAACTTGTCAATACATGAAGTGACTAGTTATAATGGCCAGTTTTGGTTTTGAGGCATGGAACATCACACTGATTAAATAACAAAAATTAATCATTAGCCAGATATATTGATCCAATGGAAAGAATTTGCATGGCTGGTGCAGATGATGGTCCTTGAGGCTTTCTCTTTTCTGCCTAACACTGTATTTCCCTCTGGCCTGCTTTAGTTAATTCAACCATATCAAAGCACCTGTCACTAGCAAAGGATATCATGCGGATATCAGTAACAGCATTCTTGTGAACAGAATGGTTAGACTGGATGGTAAAAGAGGACATACACTGAAGGGGGGAAGCAAAACAGCTTGATGGAAATCATGGGTGAGGATCCATGGAACTTCTTCCTGTAGTCTCATCAAAGTGGAGAAAAAATTTGTTCAACTAGAAAATTTATACAGCAATACCAAGAAACTTGTTTGCTAATTCTGATTTAGAAACATGTTACAGGTACAATTTTCCCTTGTTATAGAGCATTCATGCTCTTCCATTTCTTTGATGTGCACAATTTCAATAATCTTTTTTCTTATGTGTGAAATATTCACACAGTTTAACAAATTTGCAATCCAGAATTCATGTGCTGTACAGAATAACATAAACAAACAGTTTCATTTCCTTCACAACTAAGTATCACCAATCTCATTGCAACCAAAACAATTAAAAACCCTCTGGATTTGAAACAACTTATGTGGAAGAAAAAGAAAGATTGTTGGGGGGGGGGACAAGAATATTCTTGTGATCCATTCCAAATTTGTTATAATGTTAATGTAAAAAACTTGTGGTTTATAAATTATACCCAATATGAAATTTTATCTTAGCATAGGGATGAAATGTGTCTCCAACATGGCATCTCACCTCTACATCATAATTAGAGTAAAAAAAAAAAAAAAACTGGACAGTAAGGTCCACACTTGTATTCGGGAGCTGTATGATTTGAATCTTGGACAGCGAGGCCAGCTATCCTGACCGAAGGCTTTCAGTGTTTTCCTGTCTCTCCAGGTGAATGGGGGGACAGTACCTGGATTACACCACAGCCGCTTACTTCCAAATCCTTTAAATTTGTTATTCATCAGTCATCCTACCATCCAACACTATACCAAATGAATGAATGAATGTATAAGGGGTGGGCCTTCTTGGCCCTTGCACCATGACCACAGTGATCTATTGTGCCTTAACACTATACCAAAACTGTCCTTCAATAATCTGTGATAAACATTAAGATTGGAAAGTCTTCTCATTTGCATGTGTGGATGCAAAGTGGAAACTTTTTATCCACAGTCAGTGTCAATCCCATAAAATGACAGACTGTTGCCACTGTGTACATAAATATAATTTTTCCTTAAAGATGTCCTCAAATGCTGACAGATTTTAAGTGTAACTTCTTAAAACTTAGATGAGTTGAATCATATGACAGTCAGCTGCTTTCCGCTTGTCCTCTTCCACTTCTGTTTCAAATGCAGCACATTCAAAATCCTGTTTTTGTGGAAACAAAGCTGACCAGTAGGTAAAATCCCATTGTGATGGCATGGCAGTGAATGCATTAAACAGTTCTATATGTAATAAAACAAATGCCATCATGAATGCAACAATTTATTTAGTTGTAGTTCTTTGTCTTTTCTACCTCTACACTACATGTTTCGGCCGCAACCAGCCATCATCAGGTGTATTTTTCACTACATAGCTGTCACACTGCACACAATCTAAAATCTATAACACCAGCCTGTCAGTTTTGTTTAAAATCTCGCCAACATACGCTCGTCAATTTGATTTCAGAATTCTAATTTAAAATTTAAAATTTGTTATAACTTTTAAAATTCAAAATTTTAAATCACAGGGATACCCGCTCTGTGTTCACATGTGCTGCAGCAGCTATTTCTTATTTTCAGCACCGTTCATGTATGATTCTGTGCAGGCTCCGTGTGTGTGTCACTGCTCATTTTTAATACGCTACTGTATTATGGCATTTGTATTATCACATACAGAAGTGTATAGTGCAACAGGATGCTTAAATATAATATAGCATTAAACAATGCCTGATAAAGATTCTGTTCTTAAAGTACATTCTGAAATATCTACAGTAGTTTGGAAATTTTCTGCACATTGCAGCCCGTTTAGAACGCTGGATAGGAGGAATATACAACTGGGAGACCAAACGATGGGTTTGGGGAGCAACGGGAAGACGTCTCAGTTACCAGGGATTTTCTCGCCGTTCCCCGACAGAAGACCCGAGCTGGCACTGTATTGTCATGGATCCACTCATGATGTACAAATGGGGAACACGGAGTTGTGTTCATCGCAAACATTACATCTGCGAAAAGCCTTTGCAAACGGTAATGGTACCAGAAGACAACACACTCAGGCAACACACTGTAAGGCGGTCACACAGAAGACGAAGACCCCAGTTACAACAAGTTCGGCACTAAAAGACTACTTTAAGGTTTAAAGAAGTAAAATAATTAAATGATGACATTGAAGCCTGAGTATTTTGAAACATGATAGGAACTCTTCAGTAACATTTTTATCGTATCGTGTATAAAATAAGTTTTGATACACAGATAATTTGTTAGGAAGTCCATATTAGCAGTCCTCATAAATTATACCACATACACACTGCCCTAACATGTGTAGTTCTTATATGGTCTAATATGTACTATGACATGAAATTCAATACATCTACGTGTAATCAGTCTGTTATTGAGTTATAACTATAAGTGGGATCAATAAAATATTTTTCTGTACAGTCATTTATATCAGGAATCTACATCGGTGAAAATGGTCACAAACAGATAGGTAGTGCCAAAAAAAAGTCTGTTGCTGTCTCACGCTCTCAGTGAAGAAGGGGAAATTTTGCATTTGTTCAAGACTTTATCATACACACGCTGCAGTGAATTTGCTGGCATCAACACGAAAGATGTTTATATAAAAGGTTCATCTATTTTTAAGTACGAACAAGTATGTGAATTTCTTTCTGCTGTTTTCCATTCAGTTCGCCATATTGATAATTACTGAAGTTGAATCAGCAGTAAATATAGGGCCACGCCATAGCTCAAGCGGTTAGTCGCTGACTTCCCACTGCGGCGGCCCAGGTTCGATCCTTGGTCTGGTCAAGTGGGATTTGTGGTGGATAAAGTGGCACTGGGGCAGATTTT